TAAGGTCCCTCAGTATTATTCGCATTGCTCAATAGCTAATTACCCTCCTCCATCCCCAACTCCTCCTCTGTCAGTCGGGATTCAGCCTTCTGATTCTCCTTTGAATCAGACTAATTCTAAAATGTGTACATAAAATTATTGAACTTCAACAATATCTGCAATACATTTATGTTGGTTCTGTTCTGTTTAACCTGGGGGTTATCCCTGCTCTCATCCATGCTAGGCTGCATGGATGTGCAGGGAGTGCTTGCCCAGAACAGAACCATACCGCCAATCCAAACTGTATGCTAATTATCGGGCAAGTACTAGAAAAGTGGTCCTGACAGAAATATATATACACACATTTATATACTCTTTGTGAATTAGACTACACTAGTCATGCTGTATGTTTATTGTTGAGTGCAGTCAGCAAAAGAACAGAAAGATGTGTCTTTGTTTTATTTAACGGTTCTCAGCCCTTTTAGCTTTTGTCAAATATGTTTTTTTCATGTCCTGAGCATCGCCGGTGCAGGAAACACTGGCACGCTCTCTTGGATGGCTTTGATGCTATCGTTGCAGGGTTATGGTGTTCACTTGCATTCCTTTAGTGCTTGATGAACTTTATGAACAGATGGCATGAAGTGATGGGGGGGATAAAGAAGAGGTATGCATGGCAATGTAAACTCACACATCGCTCTGGTGCGTGTAGACGCGGTCGAACAGTGCTTCTGGTGCCATCCATTTGACAGGCAGACGACCCTGAAAGGACACAGATCAATCAGAACAACAGCGGTGCTGACCCAGCAAGACATACAGACGCCCAAGTAACATCAACAGGCCTGCAGCTTAATCTCCTACTGTCCTGTCTAATATAAATACACTTCTGCAGTCCACGTCAACATCATTCTGCTCCCCAATGCCCTCTAATCTCCAACTGTCCCATCCAATATCCAAATACTTCACCAACCACACCCCACAAATAAAACCCTCCGTCACAACACCTAACAGTTCCATTCAACACATTCCGTCTATTGTACCAGTGTTAGGGAAGCTATGTTGATCTTGCTACAAGCTACTAAGCAAATTTAAGGTAGTTAAACTACAGTAAAGCCAACTGTTTAAAGAGGAGCAAGCACACTACATGCTATTAACAAAAATGTAACTACACCGAAGGTATATAAGCAATATCACTTAAATTATAGCCTATAATCAGTGATGGGTAGTAATTGATTACATGTAATCTGGATTACGTAATCAATTTCCAAAAATTAAGTACTTGTATTATATTACATTTTAAAATGCTCATAATCAGATTACAGTAACTTTTTTATGGATTACATGATTACATATTACTCACACAAAGTAGTAAATTATTCTTAATTTATTGATTCTCCCTAATTATTGTTTTTTCTCTTTTGAAATGTACTTCCTAGAACATCCTACTGTGTCTCATAGCATTTAAATTTGACTACATTCACAATATGATGGGCCATATAAATGTCATGTAAATAATTTGTGATCTATGCTTCTAAAATTGGGGACAAAAGGAACTCTCAGTGAGTTAGGCCATGTATGAGATGGATAATTATGCAAGTTACTAACACTGCTGATATATAGCTGTGAAGCACTATGTCTTCATCATATCCAATGACTTTTACTAATCACTGATTTGGACAAAAGTCTGAACAAAAATATAAAAGTCTAAAAGTAATCAAACAGTAGTCAGAATACATTATGCAAAATGAGTAATCTAACAGATTACATTACTAACTACATTTTTTGTTATGTAAATTGTAATCAGTACTGGACTACAACTCGCAAGTAATCTACTCAGCATTGCCTATCATTTTTAGATTACGTGACAGAAAATAGCCAAGTCACTATTTTCAATCAAATTTATATTCTGCTACAAAAAAGACACAAGAATGAGCTCAGAATGAGTTCTACCTACACAAAAAGTGCTGATTCAAATTAATCTGTGAATAATTTTTTAACCAGTTCATCACAATGAATGAACTTGCTAAAATGTCACAGTGCTACATGTTGGAAAACAAGTGTTTTTTTTCCCACATAGCTAAGCTAATGTCATGTTACCCCTAGTTTATGCTAGTTACTCCCCAATACTGTATTTCACAATGTTCAGCGGGCCAGGTAAACTGTGATGTGTTCAATACCTCCCAGTCCTCGCAATAACCACAATATTCTTATTACCAACTCCAGACCTCAATCAACAGTTAATTCATTTATGACAAGTTGCTCATACACGCACCTTCAAAATTTCCTAAACGAGGCACACACAAAATTCAACACCTGCAGGCTTGACATTTGAAATACAGCGCGTAACCACATCCGCTGTGTTTCAATCCAATGCCACCCAAGAGCGCTATCCTTCAAGCATTCTGAGATTGATAATAGTGTCGACTTACGTTGGTGGTCTTCTTGTAGTAGTCAATGTTGTGCACATCTCTAGCCAGGCCGAAGTCTGCAATCTTCATCACGTTGTCCTCGGTTACCAGAACATTCCGGGCCGCAAGATCCCTATGGATACACTGGCAACACAAACAGAAAGAGGGCCATCTTTTATGCTCAAGTCTGATAAATACACACTATGACGTACACATCTGGAAAATAATAACTGGCATCCACAGACAGCATTTATAAACTTTATAAACATTACAAGCTTCTTAAATTATTTCTATTTGAAAAAGTTTACAAACTAAGATAAGTAGATGTGTTACCTTCTTTGAGGCCAGGTACTCCATACCCCTGGCGACCTGATAGGCACAGGACACCAGATCTTTAAATGTCAGAGTTTCATTTGGGATTTTGCAAGTGTCAAATGAGTAGTCCATCCCAGGAGGCCTTCTCGCCCGCAAGTATTCCCTAAGATTTCCATTAGAGGCATATTCCACCAGCACATACAGAGGACCTGTGTGAACATAGTAAGAAATAATTCAGTTAGAAAATTGTAAACTAAAAAAAAAAGGAAAGCTAAACATGAAAGCCGGGATCTTATCTTGTGTCTGTGTGTGCGTACTGACCATTTTGTGTGCATGCTCCTAGCAAGTTGATGATGTTCTTGTGTTTTCCAATCATCTTCATCATCTCCATTTCAGACACAAGGTCCGACAGGTCCTTATCTGTGCCGTCATCTAAGAAAACGGTAATATTGTAATAAATTATAACCTATAATCAGTGCTGGGAAGTAATTGATTAAATGTAATCTGGATTACGCAATCAGATTACAAAAATTAAGTACCTGTAATTAGATTATACTATATTTTAAAATGTTTATTATCAGATTACAGTTACTTTTTTATGGATTACATGATTACATATTGTTCAAACAAAGATAGTAAATTATTTATAATTTATTGACTCTCCCTAATTATTCTTTTTTTCTCTTTTGAAATTTACTTTCTAGAAAACCCTACTGTGTTTAATAGCATTTAGCTTTGACTATATTAACAATATAGAATGGCCATTTAAATGGCAAGTAAATAAATTGGTGATCCATGCTTCTAAAATTGGGGACAAAAGCACCTCTCAATGAGTTAGGCAATGTATGTGATGGATAATTATGCAAGTTACTAACACTGCTGATATATAGCTGTGAAACACTATATCTCCATCATATCCAATGACTTTTACTAATTATTGATTTGGACAAATGTCTGGACAAAAATATAAAAGTAAATAACATAAAAATCTAAGAGTAATCAAACAGTAGTCAGAATACATTATGCAAAATGAGTAATCTAACAGATTACATTACTAACTACATTTTTTGTTATGTAAATTGTAATCAGTACTGGACTACAACTCGCAAGTAATCTACTCAGCATTGCCTATCATTTTTAGATTACGTGACAGAAAATAGCCAAGTCACTATTTTCAATCAAATTTATATTCTGCTACAAAAAAGACACAAGAATGAGCTCAGAATGAGTTCTACCTACACAAAAAGTGCTGATTCAAATTAATCTGTGAATAATTTTTTAACCAGTTCATCACAATGAATGAACTTGCTAAAATGTCACAGTGCTACATGTTGGAAAACAAGTGTTTTTTTTCCCACATAGCTAAGCTAATGTCATGTTACCCCTAGTTTATGCTAGTTACTCCCCAATACTGTATTTCACAATGTTCAGCGGGCCAGGTAAACTGTGATGTGTTCAATACCTCCCAGTCCTCGCAATAACCACAATATTCTTATTACCAACTCCAGACCTCAATCAACAGTTAATTCATTTATGACAAGTTGCTCATACACGCACCTTCAAAAGTTCCTAAACGAGGCACACACAAAATTCAACACCTGCAGGCTTGACATTTGAAATACAGCGCGTAACCACATCCGCTGTGTTTCAATCCAATGCCACCCAAGAGCGCTATCCTTCAAGCATTCTGAGATTGATAATAGTGTCGACTTACGTTGGTGGTCTTCTTGTAGTAGTCAATGTTGTGCACATCTCTAGCCAGGCCGAAGTCTGCAATCTTCATCACGTTGTCCTCGGTTACCAGAACATTCCGGGCCGCAAGATCCCTATGGATACACTGGCAACACAAACAGAAAGAGGGCCATCTTTTATGCTCAAGTCTGATAAATACACACTATGACGTACACATCTGGAAAATAATAACTGGCATCCACAGACAGCATTTATAAACTTTATAAACATTACAAGCTTCTTAAATTATTTCTATTTGAAAAAGTTTACAAACTAAGATAAGTAGATGTGTTACCTTCTTTGAGGCCAGGTACTCCATACCCCTGGCGACCTGATAGGCACAGGACACCAGATCTTTAAATGTCAGAGTTTCATTTGGGATTTTGCAAGTGTCAAATGAGTAGTCCATCCCAGGAGGCCTTCTCGCCCGCAAGTATTCCCTAAGATTTCCATTAGAGGCATATTCCACCAGCACATACAGAGGACCTGTGTGAACATAGTAAGAAATAATTCAGTTAGAAAATTGTAAACTAAAAAAAAAAGGAAAGCTAAACATGAAAGCCGGGATCTTATCTTGTGTCTGTGTGTGCGTACTGACCATTTTGTGTGCATGCTCCTAGCAAGTTGATGATGTTCTTGTGTTTTCCAATCATCTTCATCATCTCCATTTCAGACACAAGGTCCGACAGGTCCTTATCTGTGCCGTCATCTAAGAAAACGGTAATATTGTAAAATATTATTACAATTTAAAATAACTGTTATCTATTTTAATATATATTTTAAAATGTAATTTATTCCTTTGATGGCAAAGCTGAATTTTCAGCATCATTACTCCAGTCTTTAGTGCCACATGATCCTTCAGAAATCATTCTGATATGCTGAATTGATGCTATTATTATCCATGTTGAAAACAGCTGTGTTGCTTAATATTTTTGTGGAAATACTTTTTTCCCCTTTTTTAAAGATTATTTGATGAATAGAAAGTTAAAAAGAACAACATTTATCTGAAACAGAAATATTTTTATTTAATTAAAATTAAGCACACCAACTGTATTAATGAGATTTTTTTGTGATCTGGGAGTGATGTTTTTTGACTCATCCATAAGTTAAGTCAGTTGACTGATTTCTTATGCAGTAAAAAACAAATATAATTTATATCATCTGGACACACACTCACCTTTGAGCATCTTGACAGCAACAGTGAGAGGTTTGTTGGGTTTCTCTTTGTCGATCCCAACGGCTTCTGCCATCACTACCTGCCCAAAGCAACCCTCTCCCAACGGTTTTCCCAGCGTTAGTCTGCAACAGAATCATCATTCAGCAAGGGACAAAACTCACACAACTTGGTTTACTAAAACTGTCTGATTATTATGGTCATTTGATGTTCACTTCAGCTTGTAACTCACTTTGTACGTGGAAACTCCCACTTGGGGTCAGAGGGCAGTTCAAGCTCAGAAACGTTGGGCAGCATGGGCCAGTCGCTGGATGACAGGCGGGCGATCCGGACCAACGGGGTGTTTGAATTCATGGAAGAGTTAGATTCCAAGGACACCTGCTTGGGTAAAGAATAAAAACAGCATGTTATTGTCCCTGAAAGAGAATAAGACAGTGTAAGAGCGAGACAGAGAGAGTGGAAGGATCAAGATGGCTATTTTAAGAAGATACTACTCTGAAGTGTTGTGTTGCAGACAGAAACATGGTGTTTGTTCCTCAGAGGAGTGTTTCTGAGAGAGAGAGGTTTGTAGCTGTCAGATCTCCACATAATGGACCACAGAAGACCACCGCGCACACACAGCTATGATCTGAAGTTTCGCTGTTGTCTTGTATTCAAAAAGGTGCTTGGGAGCCAGCAGCCCAACTGGATCTCTTTTTTCGTTCTTGCATTTGATGCGCATATAAAGTTAAAAATTCTAAATCCCACTAACAGCAATGGCATCATAATGTAAAAATTTCATCCCAAACTGTGATTGGTTTCTTTCTGGCATTGATTAGCATCTTTTTAGCCATCCATAACTGTCTTTGCATAAGAATCAACACACAACGTGCGCTGAATGTCATGACATTGACATGTTGGCCTGTAACTTGAGCACTATTCTTTTAGTTCCTTGCAAGCACTGCTATTTCCTTTAGGAAATGCAAATCTTTGTAGACGTTCATGAGACACTGAGAAAGTATGTCAGCAGCAGGAAGATCAAACTGTCTGACATTGATATCTCAATATTTTCTAAAATAAGAACTAGCTCAAAATACACACCTACACACACACTATTTGAATAAAAGAAAAAGAAAAACACTGCAACATGATTATGTAGCTTGCGTTGATTCCAGTGTGACATTGTCAGACTTTGATTGCTGGAAATAACTTGAGGGGAAAAGAAGAAGAGATTGGGAGAGCGGCAGAGATTAGAGAGTCAGTGTGTGTCAGCTGCAGCTGCTGCGATTTAAAATGTTTAAAACAACTGAGATAGAGCGAGTTTCACCAGGAGAGAAACATGATATAAACACTGACAGTCTCCAGGAGAGCATGAATATCCCCCTGCCACATCACATTTGACATGCACAAACTACATCTTCATAGACACGAATAGCCCAAAGAGCTTTACGTTAAGTGTGCAAAAGAGGAGATACAGAGAGAGAGAGAAAATAGGAAATAGGCTGATAAAATCTTGTATCTACTTTCTGTTACCTGTCTCTTGAGGGGGAATTTGGACAGTTTTTGAACGGGCGGCATGGGGAGAGTCTTCTGCGTGTTCATCCGCATACGGCAGAGAATAATGATGACCATGGTGAGGATGAAGAGCACGCAGCCTGTCACGTAGATGAGGATGTCCGCATAGTCATCCTCTCTCTCCATCTCCACCGCTGACAAAGAGCACAAGAGCACAGGTTAGATGTGCAATGATGACATTATGAGACAAATGTGCCAATGCGTTATACTATAGATGAAACAATGACTGTTGTGAGTGGAAGTACGTCTGAATTACATTCAAACAACACACCTTTATACTATTTAGAACCTACTTTTTAAACGGCAGCAAAATAAGTACTTATTCAAAAGAAGCAAGTACTCAGAGAATATGTGAATTTCGGACACAACGATCGATTAAAATGTTTTAAAATGTCTAATTTTTCTATTAGTGTTGTCTATTGTCAGGGTCCGAGTGCCAAATGCAAGTAAAATTTGCTGAGCTTTGCTTTGATGAGAAAATAACAAAATTTTTACTGGGAACTGCAACATAATATGTAGCATAAATCAAATTGTGATAATGTCTGATCCTCACTGATGTAAGCAATGATTCAAAGAGATACAAACCATCTTCAAACAACTATTCCTCAGTGCAAAATTTGCCTAAAAGACTTATCTCTAGAACTAAATGTGGCAACACACATGTGGAATATAAAATCAGAGGAACAACATCTGCTGAGGGGTGATTAGAAATATTTATGGCCAGCAAATTTTCTCAGTTCATCCACCTATGTGGCAAAAGGTTCATTTTGAACCCTGTTTGTTTCTAATACACATAACCACAAAATTCAGTTTATCAACTTGAATAAAACATGAAACCCAACATAAATTGGCTACTAACTACAGCCTAGAGACTTAAAAACAGAGTGACTTTAATCAAGCCCCACTAATGGTTAGATTAGAGATCATGTTAAGTCAATCATTAGTTATTGTTCTTTGTTCGAATTTATAAAGCAGAAAGCCTGCAGTTAATTTACAGCCACCTTACAAACTAATTAACATGCTATCGCACCCCCATGCAGGTACAAACATCCCATAAGACCCCTCTCTCCGGGAGGCTTATTTGGCACTTGTGTGATGAGCCCCACAGTTCGGTGTCTCTACACGAGACGAGCGATTTTAATTACAGCAGCAGAACGGAGAGCAGGATAACAGGATGAGTGCAGAATTAATTAATCAGGCCTCCCAGATACTGGGACTGTGTGCCATCAGTAAATACTCCAGTAAACACGACAAGCACTTCCATCACGAGTTCTTGAGTGGAAACAGTCTATGAGAAAAACTCATCATCCGTCTTTTTTCTCTGTGTATGTCATGTTTGAATCTGAAAACAATTACAAACTACCAGGTTGTTTTTTAGAGGACTTTAGTCAGGGTGGCATATTTAATTTGACGTGAATAAAAATGAGGCTGCCGTCTGCCCTGACTAACGTCCATAGAGGATATGATTGAAAACATTTCAAAAACATTTTAACTGCAAAACTATGAATAAAACATTCAAGGACAATAGAGAAAATATGAAGTGTAGAGACATGGGAAGAAAGGAGTGAAAAGAAACCCCAGAAAGTGAGACTAGTATACCTGGTAACACTGTAAGCCAGGCAGAGTGATGGTTATAGCCAATCGAGTTCCCTGCCAGACAAGTGTATTGCCCCGCATCCTCAAAAGACACATTGGTCAGGTAGAGAATCTCCAGCTCTTTATCCGTAGTATTTATTCCCGCAGTCTAGAAAAGCAAGGAGAGATGGAGAGAGAGAGAAAGACAGATGCGTAAACCACAACCCTTGAGAAAGGAACAGCACCCAAAACCGGGAGGAAGATCTGAACAAGTGAAGTTGAGTTAACCCATCACCAGTAACCCAGAAATCCCACACTCCTATGAATGAAGAGATGACCTAGCAGCAAATTAAAACCCCAAACCCTGGTGGAAAATATAACGCCCCATCAGCAGCAGCAGGTCACTTTTGTTTCATCCAGATCTGTATGAGGTGCAAAGAAAACATAAAAAAAGAGCGTGGAAGAATATTACCAGCTTTAATCCTAATTTAACCTCTCACTAGATAAAACTGACACCTTTTTATGTAAAAGTGTGTCTTCCAATACTCAAGAGAGCTGTGTGTAGTGTATGAGAAAATCAATAAGAATGTGTATGTGGTACAGTCTCGGCTCCTATTAAACATGCCCTTGTTGCATTGATTGGGGAAGAAGAAGAAGTGAGCATTTAAATGAAGTAGACACACACTCGCCTTACATAACAAGTCCTCGAATCAGGTCACCTTATTTAATGTGTGAAAACAGGACAAGAAGAGCAGGGAGAAATAGAGAGAGTTTAGGGGAGTTTGACTCTACGCCACCAAAGTCATAATTGACATCAGCTGTTTGGAGAAAGATTTTTACCTGGCTGGGACACCATGAGCCAGAACGTATTCTCTGACATGCCTACAAAGTTGTGGGCTCTGCACCAGTACTGGCCTGCATCTTTTTCTGACACATTATACAGAGTCAGCGTATCGTGGGCCTCTTTTACCTTACTGACAAAACTCTGCAGAGACACACACACACGCACTTAGTCAGAGCCGAACACGTTCACACATGAACAAACACTTAATGATTTAAAATATTCGCACAGCTTGTTACCACTTGTTACCACTTTTTTACGATGCTGGTACACTTAGGGGCAAATTCACAAAACAATTGTGCCACTCCCAAAATCCAGTTATATTAATGTTATATTAATTGGGGGTGGGGGGTGGGGGTTATATTAATTTCTTTGACTTTTTTTTATTTTTTTTAATTTACTTTCTTAATGTCAAATTAAATTTTCAAATATACTTCCTGTTTGCTACCTCAATTCAAATTCACAAACTGAATCAAAATTCAGTCGAAATCGAAAGAATTCATTTCTGAATGGTGCTTCATTAATATTTCATAAGTCATTCTTTTCAGTGCAAACATCTCCTTTCATATAAATCAGGCGTCTTTATAGATTGTGGCTTATTCACAAAACTCTATTATCACTGAATGAAAGCAGCAAGATGTTGCGCTGTTAACAGATTTGCACAATTCCTTGTAATCAGGGAACTAAACCAACACAGACAACGCATGCACATACACAACACTATCAGCGGATAAAAAATGCAACCCATGAAGATTTATATGTGGTATTTAAAAACTAAAAATTACGAGATAAGAACAGGAACGAGCTTGGGAAATGTTGCGAACTGGATTCAAACTCATTCCACCTGCATTGGCACCACAGCTCAACACGCTAACTGCTAGGCCATCGCTCTGACGTCACTATATGTTATAATTAAATGCTCAAATATTGTCTTCAGCCCCTTTATCCACACATATCTGTTTCTGTGTTTCTTTCAGACGCTTCATTTGCTTTATTCTCAGTTTCCGTTCTTTCCCTTGATCGCAGGCGTTGTGCCACACATGATCTGTCGCTCAGCACTCTCGGACTGGGGAAGGCTTTAGAGGGTGCGCAGATGAGACTGTGTGGGGAAGGGAAAAGCCGGCGCGCGGCTCCCAGTAAAATACTGTTTCAATTATGTGGGAGTCTAAAATAGTGTGGCGGTCTGGCCAGCCGACGCACTCCCCTCCTCTGCCTGCTGACTCGGCCCTTCCCTCGCTTCCCGCACTAATTTTTTCCATGGCTTTTTTGGGAGCCTCTTCCCTTGTTCCCTCCCTTCTTCTCCTCTGAAGAGTGAGTGGGGTAGCACAGCTAATGGCTGTCTCCCTGTGCGACGCCACCGCGGCGGTTAGCTTAGCCTAAAACAGATGTCTGCCTCCTCTCTCACTCCTCTGAGAGGAAAAAGAGAGCGAGATACCCCCAATTCTCCAGTTGCAGAGTCTATAGTGAGATGCTAACATGGGTGGGATTAGGAGTTGAGGGAGGTGCTCCAAGAGTCACTCAAAACTCACATGAGACTTAATATGTGGTTTAATTTAAGCTGCACTTGGACACATTTCAAAAAATGCCTTCAACATCTATGAAGGTCCTTTCTAACAAGTACAAAGTAAAAATGTTTTCATAATAGAAGTTTCAATAAAAAAATAATTAAATCTTTGTATTCTCTGAGAAAAGTAAACTATAATACAAATATTTAAATCATTGTTATTGTAACAAATCATAATTATCGTAATATTAATATAAAGGCATAGTAAAGGTTTTTGAAAAAAAAAAAATGAAGTTTGAATTATGGTTCATCAAAAGTGGTTCATTCATGCATTCTTCTGATGTGCCACTATAGATGACTGTACCTTAAGGATGTTGACGTAGGGGGCGCCATTGGGCCCATACTGACTTCCATTCACCTCGATGTGTTTGAGCCACTGGATGTGTGGCTGAGCATCACTGTACACCTTACAGTGGAACTCGACGTCACTGCCCACCACCACCGTCTGATTGGCCGGGAGTCCCGCCTGTAGAATGGGCCGGTGAGGAGAGCGCTCTGATTGGACGAGAGATGGAGGCCAGTCAGCGATGAAGGTAAGTTTACAGTAAGTTAGATAGAATATGTGTGTTGCATGTTCATACCCAGCACATCAAGTTGGTAAGTGTGTTTGATTTTTCCGTATTTGTTCTGCACCACACAAGTGTAGTTTCCCCGGTCAGATGGAACAGCACTCTCCATGACCAAACTCCACTGCTGATGCCTCAACTACAGAGAGAGGACGACAGAGACAGAGTTTTATTCATAAAGTGGGATATTACATAAGAGGTCCACTTGAATCCTTCCTCAGGTTTTCCTGTTAGCTGAAGAAAAGCAGGTGCTAAACTCTGTGTCTGTATAATGTTATGCGTATGATCCACTGAGCTGATAAATCCAAATTTAATTTGAATTGCATTTGCAAATTTTGTCAAGACTATCTTTGAATGTTTGCTTGAAATTGGTTTGTTTAAAAGAGAGACAGACAGACAGACAGACAGAAAGACAGATAGACAGACAGAAAGACATATTTCATGAGAAACCTTCAGAAAAGTACAGAGCATTGCTGATGTTGATAGAACAGCAGGGAGAGGGAAAGTTCTGCACCATATTTTAACCAATGGAACCAAAGATTCCATGGCAACACACACATACATGCTCACAACTCTACTCTTTATTAAAGTCATGACTTTTTATTAAAATGATGATTTGGACATTTTCAAATAGCTGTGGTTGGTAAAATGATTTTTTTTTTAATTCTAGTATGATACAGAGGGAAAAAAACATTATATATGTACACACGCACACACACACACACACACACACACACACACACACCCACACCCACACATAGAACCATCAATTCATTCATAGAGCACACTCTAATTACATGTCTCTCTCTGCTTCTTTCTGTTTCTCTTGCGCTCTGTCTCTCTCTCATTCCTCTTCTACGTACTTCGAAGATCTGAGTGGAAAAAAATGTAACTGTGTAAATATTATGAGCTGTGTTTTTGAACAGTTGCGTGGTAACACTGCCTGAGCGGGCAACACGCACATAGACAAACACACATGCCTAAGAAAGTTGGCAAGGGCGCCTGTGCCCCCTGCACTCCTCCTCCCCCTTGTCTTCTAGATCCTCACCTTCTCTCAGGCAGCTCTCACTGGCTCACTCTCACTTCTGTGTTTCCTGGTTGACACAGTGCACAGTATGAGAAATGTGTGTGAGTGAATGTCTGTATGGGAGTAGTTAACATCAAATGTGTCCATTGACTCTTTTGAATCAAGATTTTAGGTTAAAATTAATGTAAATGTCTAAGGGAAATTGTACTGTATTGTATATTGTATGTCCTGTAACTAACTATTTCTTTTAAACACCTTTCTGCAAAGTAGTTCATTTTAAATTATCCTGCATGGAGACTTATTTTTAATTTAAATTTTAATTACAAATTTATTGCAAATATTTAATGCAGTTGCTCAACCAATAAGAGGTCATAAAGACTACATAATAATAATATTAAATATATATATATATATATAAATAAATAATATAATATAAAAAAATAGCCAAATGACGCTCAGAATAGTTTAAAAAGTATTTAAAACTATTTAGCAACCATTGCTAAACATTATTTTGAAGAGTTTTTATATGATATGATATGATATGAATATAAATATATATATTGACTGTTGAGCAACTTTAGACTAAAGGAAATAAATATTCCTCTGAGCTACATCAACTCATGCTCAGTCCCCCTTTCAGTGAAATCCTAGATTCGCTTTATCTTCCCAAAAGTATTTAATGTCAACTACCCATGTGCAGTAAGACTATGAGAGAGCGAGAGTTAATTTAACACTTACTTGACACTGATATTTTGTGTGTGTGTGTGTGTGTGTGGGTGGGTGTGTATGTGTGTATACAACATTTATCTCAATGTGTCTGCTGAAAAGAAATGCTGTGAAGAATTCTCAGCTGTTCCTCAATCTACCCAAGCACTTTATCCAGAGGGAATGGGAGGAGAGAGTTAGTACATTTATCCCATCCTTCATCAAAAGATAAGAGCTGAAAAGTGTTGCGATGCCATGCTGGACGCCGCAGATTCAGAGAAAAAAACAGCACAAGAAAGACCCAAGCAGAGGTCTGATAATCAGTTGAAAAGCACCTCTCAAATTCCTCCCAGCATTACACTGTTAACATATGAAGCCTCTTTAACTCTGATGTCAGACTGGGGTTAGGAGTTAAGACCAGTGCGGTGGATATTCATTCTGTTCAACTGAATTATGAAGTGCAGAGAATATTGGGAGTTTATGGACTCAGGAGGTGCTAAGAAGCTCAGGTCTCTCTTGAGTATGTGTGTGTTTGTACGTGTATGTCCAGGATTTATGGTTGTGTCAAAACGGTGTGAACTCGTTCCGATAGCGGTGCTGTTTAATTTGACCCACAGAGACAGGAAGCAAAAACAACTGACCCCAGGGCGAGTCATTAAAACGACAAAACTGTTTCTTTTTCTCTCTCTCAATGAAAAGTAGTACAGAAGTCTCACTGATAACACCCTGTTTCACCATTAAAAGAAGCCATCAATATTGTACAGACAGCCCATAATCATACACACCCTAATATGAAAGTCGAATGAACTACATGGCTATATCAGTCAGTTCATATTGATAAAGAGAACTATTACCACTTAAAGTTGAAGTGTACTTAGTGGTCACTAGTGGCAGAAAACTGAATGTCAAAAAAATTTTATCAAACAGGTTTCACAAAAAAATGTTTTTTTGTGAGTTTTGTTTGTGCCGTTTTCTAGACTTACAGAGTAGAATTATGTTTTTTTTTAATATATATATATATATATGTATGTGAGTTTTATTTGTGAAATAATATGTATTTATTACTTTTTCCGCACCAGTCTATTATTGTGGTATCAACTATGTCATATAGACCCACCCTAAACAACAACTGGTCATTTTTTGTTATGTCAGTCAGATAGAAATCCAGTAATTTCAATAGGAATCCACATGACTGGGAATTTTGCATGAGGGTGAAAGATTTCCCTAAGAAGATTTCACATTGGATCCAAGATGGTTACGCAAATTTGCAGTGTTGACCAACAGAAAGCTGCTTAGTTTAAAAGTAACTTCTGTGTAAACTTTGCTTCATACATTGCTATTTTATCAAACATGTTTCACAAAAAAATGTTTTTTTGTGTGTTTTGTTTGTGCCGTTTTCTAGACTTACAGAGTAGAATTATGTTTTTTATATATATATATATATATATATGTATGTGAGTTTTATTTGTGAAATAATATGTATTTATTACTTTTTCCGCACCAGTCTATTATTGTGGTATCAACTATGTCATATAGACCCACCCTAAACAACAACTGGTCATTTTTTGTTATGTCAGTCAGATAGAAATCCAGTAATTTCAATAGGAATCCACATGACTGGGAATTTTGCATGAGGGTGAAAGATTTCCCTAAGAAGATTTCACATTGGATCCAAGATGGTTACGCAAATTTGCAGTGTTGACCAACAGAAAGCTGCTTAGTTTAAAAGTAACTTCTGTGTAAACTTTGCTTCATACATTGCTACTATTGACTATTGACAATGGACAATGGACCTTTTTTGCCAACAGATTTCTCTAATGTGACCGGAACCTTTATTGGAAAGAAGCTGCAAAGTGGACTAGCCTTATGTTAAACAGCAAAAAATCAGGCTACATGAGAAAAGTGAACATTAAACACTTGACCTTTAAACAGATTTTTTACACATAAATGAATAACAAATTGCACCTAAACAGTTAATATACCACAGACATACACTGCTGTGGCCTTCAGACAAAAGACACATTTGTCGGTGAATTAGAGATTCACTGATGCTCCAAGCTTGTAGAATTTAGCGCCGGTGGTCCCACAGAGCACTGCGACTGAAATTGAGTCATCTCTCGGAGGACGAAACAGTCTTTCCTTAGCTTGCTCGTCAATTGAGCTGTTAAATATGTTGCGAGCTGCTCGCATACACACACTCAAACGCACAAAACATCAGTATGTGTGCGTGCGTGAGGTGTGACTAACCCACAGTGCCACAGATTAGCATTCTAACAATGCGACTCCGGCTGCCATATGTGAGCATGACAAAAGCCACGCCTCCCCCCGCCAATCAAGGTTTCTAAATCGCCACGACAACACCCTCTCGGAACCTCCCCCTTCTGATGACTCAATAGAGAGTTGATCTTTGACCTTAGAACCCTGCCAGTCAGGCACAGAAAGTGTCTGAGGAGTTGTGTCTGTTTGTATGTGTGTGTTTGTGTTAATGTGTGTGTGGCCGTTTGAAGAGAAAGCTGTGGGAAAGTCAACTGTCTAAACAAATCCATGGATCGTTTCAAACAATGAGAGTACGGCATGTGACTCATTTTCTTGCATTTAAAACTTATTCGGCAATCTTACCGCACTTAGTTAGCAATTAATACGCCCTGACCGTCAGCTAGAGAGTTAGTCGAACTTACAACCGGCTCCAGTGCCAATAGAAACATAATCACAGCATTATTGTTACCCTTGCAATGCAAAAAGGAGCTTTAAGATGGAATACGCTGATTTCTCAGGGAACTCCTCATGTTTAATTTCGCATGGTGCTCTGCATTTTAACACATTGTTGAGTGCGTTATCAAGCCATCAGGCCTGTCATATCCACACACACAATGGGGTCATACATCCTTACGCACGCCGTGACTTTTAGCCTTGGTCTTAATAGAGACAGAAGACATTTAGGGTGAGCTGTCAAGCTCCTGTGTATGTATGTATTAAATAAAGCTATTATGATGCTGTCAGAGATCTCTAGGCCAACAGTGACTGTGCTGATGCGGAGGGCAGGTCTGGTATAAAGGATGGGTCAGTGCGGACTCCTGGTGTGTGTATACGTGTGTGTGTTTGTAAGGGCGGGCTGGTCACACTATGGCCATGGAAAGGTTGAGAGTTCAACGTTTTGTTTCTAAATGTCTCTCTTAGGGGACACTGGTTATTTTCTATGCATATAGGACAATGCAATGTAAGACCGTGTTAAAGAATCTGAATGTGCGAATGTTTGTGTGCAAAAAGAAGTCACTCAGAAGATCCCAGTTGTGTTTTAGGTGTTTCTCCTAAAATTCGGTTTAATTTAGAAACAAATTGTTGACATACAGTGGGAGTACAGAGCTATAAAATGAATGTGGATAGCAAAGCTTAGGTCATTTGGTTTTGGAAGAACTACATGAGAAATACTGATCATATAGAGATCTTTTGATTTTAGACTTTCATATCTTTGCAAATCTGAGCACAGTTTGAGATCTCATCTGAAGAGGGGATGTCTAAAAGGAGAAAATTCTGTAAACGTCTTTAGTGAAAGTCTCAATTTGTTGTCAATTTCATCTCAAGGCTATTTAGAAGAGACAATTGAGATATTAAAGAGATGTAATTCATGATTTTTCTTTCCTGTGGGGAAAATGTGTGCCTCTTCAGGAAAATTGTGTTTAATAATGCTGTAGTATTTAAAGGCATAATTGACCGAATAATCAAAATCACGAACTCACTCACGCTCATTTAGCTCCAAATCTTACTTTCTTCTCTGAAACATAAAAGAACCAAAAAGCTTTGGTGACCATTGACTTCAATTGTATGCACAAAAAAAAAAAAAACAGACATTTTTCAAAATATCTTCTGTTTTGCTTCTCAGAAGAAAAAAGGTCATACAGGTTTGGAAGGATGGTAAATGATGGCAACAATTAAATTTTTGGGTGAACTATCCTTTAAATTGTGGGGGTTAAATCATTGAGCATTAAGGAGCAACAGCCCTGAGAGATTAAAAAAATGGTAATAATAAATAAAAATAATCTAAAGAATCTGTGGATGGCCTCCAAAACATGTCACAATCAACACCTGCACACAAACGCATCAACACATAAATAACAAGACCACACAGAACTTTGTGTTCTTCTGTTCTTTCAGAGGAGCAGCAACAGGTGGAAATATCCTCTAGAGACGACAAGCAAATAAAATCCAGAGCGAGAGAAAGAGAGAGCTCTTGAAGGCGCAGATGTTGTGGATCTGTGTAAATTATTACTAATTGCAAATTCTTATTATCTGTAATCCTAAACACACAATCACATGTTTGCACATGCACACGCACATGTTCTTAATCGATATTCATATTGTCTTACTTTAATCCCGCCCATTCTCTGCTCTCCCTTGAATTCCTTCCCATTTTTCAGCCAGTGGATGGTGGGAGTGGGGTTGCCGGCAGCAGGACAGCGGAACTTCACTGTATTAGCGGCGGGAACAGCCAATAGTTTCTTCTCCATCCGGTCAGAACGGGTCCAGTATGGAGCTTCTGTTAGAAATGAGAATTAAATCAGATGCTGCTGAAAATAGCAACTAAACATGACATTTTGAAAGTTTACAAAAACATGTCAGTGTTCAATACATGAATCCATGGGCACAAATGGACCAAATATAAGTGTATGTTGACATGCAGCACTATTTTTTAGGGGGTAGGGTGTTCCCTCTCCGGGAGTCTTCGTGTGGGTGAATGTTTATGGAAAGATTTTTCTTGCTCGCTCTGTGGCAGCGTCAGACTGGCTGCCTAATTCCCAGACTGAATTAAAATTTGTTTGGAAAAGCAAACACGCTTACATACACTCTTACGTGAATGTGAGGCGTGTTTATGCTCTTGTAGACAGAACTCTGAAAGATTCCCAGTGTTAACTCCTTCACAGAGCCATGAACACACAATGCGGATTCCTAATAAATTCAGTTTATAATGTTGACTGTCATGTGGTCAGGTCTGTGCTTATGCTTCCTAGTAACTAATGCCAAATATCAGAGCATAAATACTTACAGTAACATCCTTTAGCTAAATTAATAGTCATTATTTTTATTTTCAGACAAGTCTTGAACTTTGTGTGTGTGTATGTGTCTTTAAGAGACTGAGTAAACATACTTTCATCCCTCCTCAAACAATTAACTCCAGATCAGATCAACCCGCAAACTTGGCGATTAAACCCACAGACGCCACATTTCGCTCCAGACATACATGCGAGCTCACAAGCACACATCTGTGAATGCGCGCACACACATGCACACACAATAAACCCATTAACTAGACTGAATATAATTCTCCCTTGCGTTATTTGATCATGCTATCAGATTGTGAATGTAAAGGGTGATTGGCAGGCTGGCATTTCCTTTGGCATAACCGACACACTAAAGCCTGTACACACACACACACACACACACACACACACAGGTTTGTTTTTGTGAAAAGTGGGGACATCCCATAGGCGTAATGGTTTTTATACTGTACAGACCGTATATTCTATTGCCCTACACCAACCGTACCCCTAAACCTACCCCTCACAGGAAACTTTGTGCTATTTCAGATTTTCAATACACTCCATTCTGTGTGATTTATAAGCGTTTTGAAAAGTGGGGACATGGGGTAATGTCCTGAAAAGTCACCTTCTCCTTGTAATACCTATGTCATACCTTTGTCATTATACAAATTTATGTCCTCATTTGTCACAAAAACACGCACACACACACACACACACACACACACACACACACACACACACACACACACACACACACTCTTCCAATTTTCACTGCATTCTCAGATGGTCAGTGATCCGTCAGGACCACAACATGGGTCTGTATCCAACAGTGGACCTGGCTCCTATATGTGTGTTTGTGTGGTTTGCTATTTTAGAGTTCAGCACAGACAATTTGAGCTTTGAAGTGGGAACCGCGAATCTACAGTGACCCAACTTTTTTTTCCATTTACTTTTATTCTACAGCCAAAAAAGCCATCAAAGTATAGCGCAACTCTACACAGCTGATATTATGCACAGCCTGCTTCAGTCAGCCAAACTGAGAGCAGTAACCAGCACTGCATCATTAAGATATTACAGAATGATGTCATCAGATGTCACACGACCTCAGCTCTTCTCAAATGTTCCAGAGAGCCCAGACCTCACAGCTCTCAGCTCCAGTGTGCTGATCTCTCTCTCTCTCTCTCATTCTCTCTTTCTTAATTAGAGCTGGATTACTGGTCATTAAACTCTAAAGGGGTTTTGGTTTTTGCCTAAGCATTTCATGCCCTCCCCTCAACCCTGAGACCCTCCCCCAACCCTGATCCCACCACAGCAGACAGATGCATTAGCTTTCCCTTCTCTTCCCACTCTCTTTCTTTCTTTGTGAAAAATCACAAAAAAACAAGATCTCTTTCAAATCTCAGTTGTTTCTCATACAAAGCAATGAGAC